AGAAAACAGGTAAAAGGAAGTCGTGATGTCATCAGTGTGATTTTTATTTCAAAATAAGAGATTTTTTGTTACGCAGTAACACCAGTGACACGACTCCTTTCATTCTATATTTTATAATATTTATTTGGCGTTTGTTTTCTTTATGTCATTTAAATCATATATTCCATAGTCATGTATAGATTGTTGTAATTAAAATTGCAGAAAAACATGTTTTTTTCTTCAAAAAATGGCCTCAGCCTTCACACATGACTGTGAGGACGAGCTCTTCTGTGGTGCTTGGAATTCTGTGTAATTGATTTAAAAAACAGTATTGCTAAATTGTTTCACTGCAGCTCACAGCAGGCGATTGCATCAGTTCTTCACAATAACGTGGATAACTGCACTGAAACGGTGAGTAAATGGCTGCACTATATTTCCAAGAGCACAGTAGAAAAAGGATTGTTGAGACGGCTCTGTTATCAATAATTGATTATGGTGATGTAATATACAGACATGCGCCTGCCAAAAGCCTCAAGCCCTTAGACTCGGTCTTTCACTCGACTCTGAGGTTCATTACCGGAGGCAGTACTCATCACTGCACGCTGTCCTCTCTGACAGCTGGGCGGGAAACACACTGGCAGAACGCTCACTGACCACATGCCTTCTCACATCACATCAGTGCTCTCTGTAAACAATGGAAATGATCAGACCCGCTCCAGTGACCGGATCCCCTTTCTCGACCATTTTAAACCTTTAACCACCTCCACTCAGACCACAACTGTTTTAGTTGCTTTAGTTTTTTATTTTACTTTCTTCAATATTATCTATTTTAGTTGCTTTCTTGATTAATGGTTTTATTATTATCATTTATTTTACTTATTTTTATTATTTTATCATTTGATTAGTCTTATGTGTACAGTTTTAACAGCAAATGGTCTTAAACGCTGGAGTTAAGGCAGCCTATATCAGCTAATTCACCAACCTTTCATCCTAAACATGACTGCTGGTCACCATAACAATGTAGTCTAGCTAGTAGTAACGAAAAGGCAAAGAAAAAGATTTAAGATGAACATCGATAATTTGGAGATGAATGGACTTATTTGCGTTTATAATCACTCCAGCTGGTTTCCTGATACATTTAATCTGCAACGAGAAACTGTCAAACACTAAAAAGTCGCAAAGCTGAAGTCAGCTCCTTGTTCACCAGCTTCTTGTTCGAATTCTCCCGTTCCACCTTAAAAAGTGCAGCAGTTACATTTTGGCACCTCAGGCACCATTTAAGGTGGAACGGGAAAATTCATCCAAGAAGCTGGTGATTGAGAAGCGACTTCAGCCTTGTAAAATATTAAACACTGAGAGACATTTTACAAGAAACTGTTCTACTTTTGAGGAAAAGTTTCCTGTCAGAGATGCGAGAAAAGCGGCTATAGCTGAGCTAAAGCTTAAAGCAGAGCAAAGTAAGTCTGTGTTTACATTTATATTTTTCTGTCTAAACTAGTACATCAGCACATACTGAGACATATTTACAGCCAAGATGGTAAAATGGACATAAAATGTTGTGGTTCCCAAGGTGGTTTGATTTTTTTTGAAACGACAAAATGGCTCTTTGTGACCCTGGCTAAGCACATCTGATTTAACTGTGGTTTGTCCACTATGTTAGTTAGAATACTATGAGCATTTTGGACTTCGTTCATACGTGTTACTGGACATTGCGATCATCAGTGGTATTAAATGGCCTACAATATATTTTAGAAGCATTTTCTTCTGTCTTTTTAAATCAAGGCTTCCCAGCTCAAGCTGTATTCCAAATCCCTCCTGCCCAAGACTCAAGGCCATGTTGCTTGCAAGGTTAAGCGGCTCTAATAACATAACCCAGCTTTAAATATCATGTGGCCAACAACATCAACATCAAATATCAACAGATGCTCACCTTTACATCACTTTTACTTTTTCAGGTTTACATCTCCCAAACAACTGATAAAACTCTTTTGTGACACATGCGAGGAGGTATAATGGAACGCTGACCTGTCTTCGCTTGCTTGCCCCCCTGCACTCATCTTATAATCTGGTCTCTCCACGCATGTTGGTGGGCAGATGGTGCAGAAACATGGATGGTGTGCAGGACCCTGCAGTGGCCCCTTAAGCTCCTAGCATGCAACTTGATTAATTTGTCGGTTTTCGCCATGGGGAAAAAGTGGCCGAGGCGAGAGCAGCTCCTGGCCTGTGCTGTGTTATGTCTGAAGGGTAGATCAGGTTGATACTACTGACCCAGATAAACACACAGGTGCCTTATCGTAGGTCAGTGCCTTAACAGGAATCAGCTCACTGGGGCTTCTCATAGTCCTTCTCCCACCTGCAGTTACCCCTGCTTTAGTCTTTATTAGGAATGTGGAGTTTTCTTTGGTGTCCGGTTGGGGGCTACAGGTGGACTCAGAATTTTGTTGGGCTACAGTCAGACTCAGAATTTTGTTGGGCTACAGTCGGGCTCAGATAGAATTTTTTCCGGCTTCAGTCGAGTTCAGACAGAATTTGTTGGGTTACAGTCGGGTTCAGACAGAATATTGTTGGGCTGCAGTCGGGTACAGACAGAATTTAGTTGGGCTACAGTCGGGTTCAGACAGAATTTAGTTGGGCTACAGTCGGGTACAGACAGAATATTGTTGGGCTGCAGTCGGGTTCAGACAGAATTTAGTTGGGCTACAGTCGGGTTCGGACAGAATTCTGTTGGGCTACAGTCGGCTTCAGACAGAATTTTGTGGGCTACAGTCGGGTCAGACAGAATTTAGTTGGGCTACAGTCGGGTTCAGACAGAATTCTGTGGGCTACAGTCGGGTACAGACAGAATTCTGTTGGGCTACAGTCGGGTTCAGACAGAGTTTTGTTGGGCTACAGTCGGGTTCAGACAGAGTTTTGTTGGGCTACAGTCGGGTTCAGACAAAATTTTGTTGGGCTACAGTCGGTTCAGACAAAATTTTGTTGCCTACAGTCGGGTTCAGACAGAATTTAGTTGGGCTACAGTCGGGTTCAGACAGAATTTTGTTGGGCTACAGTTGGGTTAGGACTGAATTTTGTTGGGCTACAGTCGGGTCCAGACAGAATTCTGTGGGCTACAGTCGGGTCCAGACAGAATTCTGTGGGCTAGAGTCAGGTTCAGACAGAATTTTGTTGCCTACAGTCGGGTTAAGACAGAATTTTATCGGACGGCAATCGGGCTCAGACAGAATTTTGTTAGGTGCATTCAGGTTCATACAGAATAGCTAATATGGTTTCAATCTTCAATCTGGTTCTAATGGATTTTTTTTGTGCTCAGACAGAATTTTGTTCAGGCCTAATTGTAGCTCTACAAGTAACAAAGGTACAAGGTTGGGTTGCTCTGCTATGCAGTAGCTCCATGCTAATGTTTATCTTCCATTTGTTTCTGGGTTGATAGTGCAGAATCAATGCTATGGACTGCAAGGTGGCTGTTTTCTCTGAATAATTGCACTTGGCAGTGCTTCTTTCTCACTTGTGGTGGGAGGCCTTGGCTGGAGAGTGTGTGCAGTTGGTTCTCCCAGATTAGCAGTAATTAAGGGCTTGACCCTCACGTGCCGAAGGGCTCTGGCTTTGGGCCTTCTTTCATGGACGAGCATGAACCACTCTCCAATGCACCACTGTGAGTGTGTGTGTTTATGTGACTGTGAAACCGGGTAACTGGAACACTGACCTGGCCCTTCTGTTCAGCATCTCATGAGTGTGTGCGTGTTGGGAAGGGCAGGGATCAACTTCTCTAGTCTTTGCTGCCACATGAAATTTAAGTAGCTTACTCTGACAAAGCGTCCAGCGTGTAATCATTTGGTATGAGTGCTTTTATCCTATTTTGTGAGTTGTACACCACAAAATCACAGCAGCTTGATGCTATTAGACAGAACCACCCCCACTGCCCTCCTGAGCTCCTCTCTCCACCAATGCGCTCGCTCAAAAGAAATGAAAACCTTGGACTGATGAAGAAACCAGGAACAGACCCGTGATCCCAGTAACCCTCCTGCCACATTATCCACCAGTGACCTCACCAAATGTGCTCATTCCTTCTTAGTCTTTGTCCGATTGACTGCTATCAGCATGTTTTTTTCTGGACAACTTACTTTTTTTGATCTTCACAACAGATTTTACTGTGACCGTGAAATTCTTTATCCAGCAATTCAGTTCATTTTCACACTGAAACAGCTACACTGCAAAAAATGGTATCTTGGCAAGTGAAATGATCTAGTCAATATATCTAATTTTATGTATTATTGTAAGATTATTTAAATTATTCCTAGACATATTTTACTTGTTTTTGGTGATTTTACTCAGTGAAATGATTTTACTCTATTGGCAGATAATGTTACTTGTTTCATGCATATTTCTTACAACATGCAAAATTATCTGTCAACATAGTGAGATCATTTGACTTACTAAAAACACTTAAAACGGGCAAAAGATGTCTAGAAATAAGTTATATAATCTTATCATAAGCTTACAACATTCTCAAAATGAAAAATATTAGATATATCCACTAAATTTATATGTTTTGTTCACAAAATTTTACAGAGATTTGAAGTGAATGTTAATGAAAAATATTCCAAAATATCATGACTTGACCTGCCTTCCCTTTTTTATATAAAAATTAAAACATGACCCTGAAAAAACATGCTTTTTAGAAACAAATTTGCTTTTACACTGCAAAAAAATGATCTTGGCAATGTGAAACTGTCCTAAGTCTTGTCAATATATATAATATTTCTCATGTTAAGATTGTTGTATTTTCAGATTTTACTTGTTTCAAGCTTATTTTTTAAAATAAGCAATATTATGTGCAATTGTAGTGAAATAATTATACTTGATAAAAATTACTCAAAACAAGTAAAGTGAGAAACAAGTTAAATATTCTTATAATAAGTTATATACAACAATCTCAACATGAGAAATATTACATATATTGACTAGGTCTTTATTCAAGGATTTATCTTGGAGAAAGACCTCTGAAAGATCAGTGCTCCTACCTGGAGACGACAAGAGGCAGGATGAGCATCTTCAGCATCCTCATGAGCAGCTCTCCAGGGAACTGGAAGTACTTCACCTCCTTCAAACAGAAAGGCAGTGAAAACACACGTTACGTAGCTGAAGAATGATGCAATTGACATTGAGTGAACAGGAAGAATCTTTCTACTCTTGACCCAGGTGGTCAAAATATCGGTGCTCCAGGAAACGACCCTCCTGGTATAAGGATCATTAAGAATGAAATCATTGCGAAGTAACTGCATGACATTTGGAGCTACTATCTTGGGTCCAGCACCCTGCTGTGCTGCGTCAATACCGGCAAAAAGAACAAACTGATGAAATTATATTCAGGAACAGAAATGTTGAAAAATGTTTCGTAACTAGCACCAAATTCATCTGTAAACAAGAGCGTCATAGAGTTGTAGTCATTCCTGACTCGGGCTCTTAGGCCACAAAATTTGAGGATTATCCTTATGCTTAATCATGTAATCTGTGTTTGATGCTGCAAAAAATGATATCTTGGCAAGTGAAATATCTTGTCTTATTTTGACATTGTTGTAAGAATATTTTAAAATTAAAGCTGCACTATGTAAGATTTTTTAGTTTTGAAAGAAGAAGCATTACTCTGTGAGAAGAAAAGATAACAGGCTAAAATATGGTGGGTGTGTGCTGCTGCGAGTCGCTGTGTAAAGCCTGAAATAATCATTTAAAAGTCAGAGGTGTCGGGTCGGAAGTTTTTGGAGCACATCATATGTCTTTATGTATTAATGGCTCAAAATCACAGGCTCAAAAAGAAGGTGTGGCTCAATGTTTAGGTCTAATATGCAAAATCAACGCTATACTGATGAAGATCTGGTGATAACAGTAGATAATTTGCTCACATCCTCATCTTTCGCAAAGTTTTGACTGAATTCTCTTTGAATTAAAATCATCAGATTCATCCCCTTGGGGAAGAGACATGAAGCAGCCATGTTACAAAAGGTCCTTCTGCACATTGGGTGTAGTTACACATTTCCACCAGAGAAGTCTCCAAATCGCCAAAACTTACGCAGTGTAGCTTTAAGTAAAGTTAATTTATTATGTCATAATTTATTACCTAATAAAATGGTGAGACTTACTTTTACAGTCCTCACTTTTCAAAGTAGTACCTGAGTAAATGTGGAGCACATTGTTTAAAGTGCTGTGTGATTATTTTGGGTAAAATCATGTTAAGTACCAACACAGTCTAACTAAACTACACTGAAATGACTAACAGGTTCTAGCTATTAAGCTATACAGAAAAATATCTCAAATATTTCACATTTGGTCAGTACAAACAAACTAAATTTCACTGTATTGTCATTTAGGCATGGAAGTAAATCAGAAACACATCCAAGTAAGTCATATAGCATAAACGGACAGCAGTACAAATACTTTTTGGAGGATTTTTAAATGGTAAGGAACCTGTAAAATGACAGTAAGAATTATTGCTTTCTTTTACAGCCCAGTTTCATTCATCAGTAATACGTAGGTACATACTATATAAAACTCTTTATAATTCATTCATGTACAATGTTTTTACATCATGGTATTTTATACTCAAAATGTTTACACAGTACTGTGGAGTTTGTACCCAGTTAATGCCTAGAACCATTTGGGCATTTCAGTGTAGTAAAGTTAGACCAGTGGTCACCAACCCTCCTCTTGGAGATCTATTTTCCTGCAGAGTTTAGTTCCAACCTGCATCTAACATGCTGACCCTCTCCACGTCTATACTAATGCATTTGATGCAGCCAATCAAGGATTTCTGAAGACCTTAATGAGCCGGAGCAGGTGTAGCAGGTTGGAGTTGGAACTAGATTCTGCAGGAAGGTTGATCTCCAGGACCAGGATTGGTGCCCACTGGGGTTTGACGGCTTACCATCATAATCACCTGACTCTTTGGTATTTGTACCTCACATTTTCCTGGTGAGTACCTAGAACTCAAGAGGTTGTAAAAGAAAGCCTGATCACTGAAACAGTCTTATTCTAAACTGATCATATTTATTTCAACTATTGTTTTTTTGAAGAAAACAATATTCTTTGAAATTAGCAATTTATTTGCCAATAGAATTAGACAGTTTCACTAGATAAAATGACTTGAATACACAAAAAGTTATGGCAAATCAAATCATTATGCTGTCTGCCAAGCACCGCCTTATTTCACCAGTGTTTGAAATTGAATCTCCAGTTGTGGTCAAAAGATGAACTTGGGGGGATCTATAAAGATAAGATTCCATCACCAATAGAGTATCATTTTATACCCATTCTGAAAGCCAAAAACAAATTGAAAAACATTGTTGTCATTAGTTTTCGGTAAATTTGGTAATGGCTCTTTTACTACTGAAGTTAAAAAGGGCTCTATCAAAATGTTAAAGCAGACATCTATTTCAGTGCAACAGATCAACAAAGGTAAGACATAAATGACCCATAAACATTTTTCATGCCCGCCATGTTGTCTTCATTATGCCTGTGGTGAGCGGATGCATGCTTTAGGATGTTGCAGTGTTGGTTGGGTTTATGCTGATTAGAGCCTGACTGATAAATCGGTGTACTGATATCAGCTCATTGCAGATAAATCGGTAATGGCTGATAAATGGCAGTTTATAGACAGAACACAGATTCTTCAACCATGTTATGAGTGTTGTCATTGCATAGTTTGTCCATCAGAGGACACTCTGCAGCTTCTCTGTTGGCAACACATACATGTTTGGAACACCACAAACCACAATCAGCTGATGTAAACAGAGTATTCCATGAAAGAGGTTATCAGTGTCTATGGTAAGTTTATATTTGTCACGTATGAAATGCATCACTTAAATAATAATACAAATATCCCCATCACTTCTCCTCTTAGCCTAAATAAGCCTGGCAACATTCATATCAGCCATGCCTGCTTTAGCTGCATTAACGTGACGAATTGTGCTACCTTGTTGTAAAGTCCTACCGTAGTGCATATTTATAGGTAACTCCATACATAAAACCTCGTAGGTAGGATATTTTGGTAGCCTAAATCAGCTTAATCAAAAAAGCCTACCAGCATTAAAACTATGAAGCTACGAAGTCAGCTTCTTATTCTTCTTTCTCAAAAAAATTTCCATCCCACCTTAAATGGTGCAGCAGTTACATTCTGGTGCCTCAGGCACCTTCTTGTTTGAATTTTCCCATTCTACCTTACATGGTGCAACAATTATATTCTGGTGCACCAGTTACATTCTGTGGCACCATTTAGGGTGGAACAGCAAAATTCAATATGAAGCTAGTGAATGTCCTTATCAGAAAATGTTACCAGAATTAAAAGAATAATTAGAATATTTTATAATGAACTCAAATTAAATAGGTAAGAGACAGATTGTTAGAACACTGATACTGTCAGAGAAACAACATAATTAGCCTACATTTAACGTTATGGTAGTTGACCGGTGTTGGCTAAGGTTCCTTACCAGCTGTTGACAGACTTGATTGTAGATTTATTTCTGAAACACTGTGGCAGTTCTAGCAAGTAAACAAAAAACCTTCCTATTGTTTCTCCCTAGCTCGTCATTTCAAAAATTCTTTGGCAGCATTGCTTATAGCGGCTGAGAATGCTGTTCATTGCGAAAGTGCGTTGGCCACAAAGTTAGCTAATGATATGTTTATCAGTGGAAAACAACTAACGTTATTGATCAGTTAAACTATAGTGTTAAACTTATTCTGCCTAAATGAAGAGCAAAAAGGATTGTATATATCGGATTTTTAAATTCTGAAATATCGAAATCGGTATCAGTCTTAAAAATCGGTCAGGCACTAATGTCAATCCAATACTCCAGTTGATTGCTATTGTTTTGTAGAACCCCATGCACTGAAATATTTGACTCTAGTCATGAAGCTCTCTAGTCATGAGACGAATGGACTCATTTGCATTTATAATCACTCCAGCTGGTTTCCTGATACGTTTAATCTGCAATGAGAAACTGTCACACTAAAAGTCATGAAGCTGAAGTCACTCAGGCACCATTTAAGGTGGAACAGGAAAATTCTAACGAGAAGCTGGAGAATGAGAAGCTGACATCAGCCTCATAAAAAGTCAAACGTTGAGGACATTTTTTCAAGAAAATATTATACTTTTGTGGAAAACTTTCCTGCTGGAGATGTGAGAAAAGCAGCTATAGCTGAGCTAAAGCTTAAAGCAGAGCAAAGTAAATCTGCTTTTTTTGTTTATGTTATATATTTTTATATATTATATATAATATTATATATTGTTATCTTATATATTTTTAGCCTATACTAGCACATACTAAGACAAATTTATGGCCGAGATAGTAAAATGGACATAAAGTGTTGTGGCTCCCAAGCTGGTTTGATTTTTATTAAAAGGATTAAGTGGCTCTTAACATTTGGGTTGCTGTTCCCTGGTGTAGGGAATCACCTGGCTCTTTGGTATTTGTACCTCACATTTTCCTGGTGAGTACCTAGAACTCAAGAGGTTGTAAAAGAAAGCCTGATCACTGAAACAGTCTTATTCTCAACTAATCATATTTATTTCAAGCATTGTTTTTTGAAGAAAACAATATTCTTTGAAATAAGCAATTTATTTGCCAATAGAATTAGACAGTTTCACTAGATATAATGACTTGAATACACAAAAAGTTATGGCAAATCAAATCATTACGCTGTCTGCCAAGCACCGCCTTATTTTCTCAGCCCTCTATCACTGCTTAGCAACTGTTGCTATCTGCCATTGCCCCAAGTCTTCGGTTTGTTATCAGCGCACCAGTGTTTGAAATTGAATCTCCAGTTGTGGTCAAAAGATGAACATGGGGGGATCTATAAAGATAAGATTCCATCACCAATAGAGTATCATTGTATACCCATTCTGAAAGCCAAAAACAAATTGAAAAACATTGTTGTCATTAGTTTTTGGTAAATTTGGTAATGGCTCTTTTACTACTGAAGTTAAAAAGGGCTCTATCAAAATGTCAAAGCAGACATCTATTTCAGTGCAACAGATCAACAAAGGTAAGACATAAGTGGCTCTTAACATTTGGGTTGCTGTTCCCTGGTGTAGGGAAATCACAGTAATTTGAACTGCTGGTAAGAGCTCTGCTTTGGAACTCTTGCTATTGGTTACTTTCAGTACGTTGTATTCTTTTTTGTGTACATTTTATTGTCCAGCTGCAGACTGTAATCACCTCACTGTGAGCATCTCAGTGTACAGATGTCCTTGGCATATTGTACATCTGACAAACAAAAGATTTTGACTTCAAATGGGAACAACTGTATGGCTAGATATTTCATAACGTCATTGTCCAGAAACTGCCATAATGAAAAAGTGAGTTAAAAGGTCAAAGCGAGAGAGGAAGCAGCAGTTTGCTCTAATCAGAGCTTTGTGGAAATGCTGCTTCCGTCAGCAACTGATATGGGGCCATATTGTGTTTAAGAGGAGTTGCTGCTGCTAGTAAAGCGCTTTACAATCTGCATTAAAGGGGGGAGGGACCAGCGGAGCTTAAGATCAGGATCAGTGCTGACAAATGGCTGGAATGCACGGCTGATGGAGCTATGCTATGCTAATGCTATGCAGAAAGCTATACAGCTGGCCTGAGGCCCAGGCATCTGCCACTGGGACACCTGGCACAGGCTAGGCACAGCCTATGTCGACCCACCATGTGGCATGCTCTGAAAAGGCCGCGGGGATGCCATGGGCTCATTGGTAAACATTAAACTGCTGTAATGCTCAGCAGATAGACAACAAAATATTGCTTGGCTGAGGTTAACGAGAACATACTGACAGTGCCATATGCCAATCGCCAAATTAGTCAGTCGAGGATTTCCTCTGTTTTGACTACATTTGAATCAAGGCACTTTTGCAGTTTAAAATCACTCACCTTGGTGAGTCATTCAGATCATATGTTCGAAATCCGTGAGACAGATTTCCAAGAAAAAAGATCAAAACGGGCACAAAATTTTGGACGTAATGATAAACTAATAGAAAATACATTTCCTATGTGAATAAATGATGAAGGGCTGCCAACTCTCATTTGAATTTCAGGCCTTGCCAGCTCGATCTTGCTTATTTTGTTATGAACTTCTGGGACGAGTGCCGTAGAGGCATTTAAAAGTGTTTTAATTGCATCACAAAATTAATTACAAGTCTGAGAATAATCACAGCTTACTACCTTTTATCATTCAGCAGGAGCTGTGGTAGGCTGTCTATCTGCCAGGGACACGAAACCTCTCTAGATGGACCTCTCGCAGTCAAAACTTGTTTTCCTCCAAGCGTTTCCATCGCTCAGGGTCAGACGTGACTGTTAAGCCAGGCTGGCTTTGTATGTGAAACTTACGTGCAACCTTAGTCATATAGATTTTCCTCCAGTTGCATAATGTAAAGTGTCTTGCAACTCACTTGCAACTCAGCTGCAACAGTTGAGACTGTCTCAAGTTTCATGAAACAGCCAATCAAAACGCTGATAATGCATCACATTGAAGGCTGTAATCTTATCTCACCGGACTGATAAGCAAGAAAATGGAATTGTAGATGGTTCATTGGATCGTGGAATAGGAAATAACTTTACTCTTGATAAACTTTACGCAAGTTTGCTCAGTATCCTCAGAGTCTCAGTGCCATGACAAGCAAATTTTTACAGTTTTAATATTTCTATAGCTGGCATAAATAGCAAGCTAACGCAAACAGCTGTTTGAATGGCTTCGTTTATTCTTCTTTAGCCTGCTGTTATTGTCATCTAGATTCATTTTCTTCTCTTTTGATGCTCCTGATTTTACACAGAGCTCATTGCTTCTAGGACAGCATTAATAAAAGCATAAAGGCTGGTTAAACGTTCATTTTCAAAGGCTTAACATACAAAAAATAGATTTGAAACTCAAATATGCAGTAAAAATCTTTTCCTGCTTCCTGATTTTAAACAGCAATAATCGCTGGAAAAAATTCACCAACGAAAATGCTACAAATATGTAAATAGAGATTGCAGATTACTTTATATATGGAGAACGATATGATGTATCAAAAATATGAGCTGCTAGTTTGGCTAACTAGTGGAGTAATAAAAAGGCTTGCATGCAAATTTGATTTCTTTTGAATTTGTTTCTTTGCATGCAACTCACAGCACGCAACTAGTTGCATGCAAGTTTCGTCGTGTAAAGCCAGCCCTGGACCTTGACGGCCTTGTAGAGAAGCTCACGATTCAAGCTTCTTAGAGTCATTAAACATGATGCTCCTCTATTTGAGGATGTCGCTGAATGGAAATAATTGGGAAGAGCAATGATGCTAGTCTTGCTAAAGGTTCACTCTTTGCTCTATCCACTTGCCAGCGACATTTTCTCTGCTCAGCTATTATAACAAGCCTCCGTAGCAAAGCAATCAATCCGGGATGGTATTTTACTTTAGAGGTAATTGCCTTCGCTCTTTCACATATTCAAATACTATCTGTGGGAAAACTTTTTGTCATTCTGTGCCGGAGAATTTTCAATTCAATTTCTACTTAAAAAAAACTCATCTTGGCCTATTCAAATATCAGTTACGCACTGTGCAGCTCTAGTGCAATCCAGCTATCAAAAATGAAGATGTGACTCCAGTGAAACACCCAGAGCAATCAAGTTCTGGCTATAGGATAGGATTTTCAACCGCAGTCCTGCTTCAGTGTATGTCCATGATTGACAACTAATCCTCCTTGGCAGCTGGATCAGCTTGGGTTCCTTATTTCATAATCACAGTGTTGGATTTTTGCTGCCGCTTCAGATGTTTATCAACATGATCAGAATGGAGATCAATAGGTCTGTTGCTGAGTCTGGAATTTAAAAGCCTTCTGAGAGGTAGAAAAGCTCTGCAAACTCGAGAAATGTCGATAATTTGCTCGGTTCTTCACAGCGGACAAGCTTATAGGGATGACTTGAATGTTCCTAGGATCCTGTTTACCATCTGGCAAACAGCACCACTGCTGTACTTCATGTATTAAAGATTTTTTTGGGATTTGATTTCATACTGAGAATGAGTGTATCGCTGCTGTCAGAACAAAACCTCCTATCTCCAAAAAGGTAACTTTATAGGACAAGCACAAACGCTCTTAACTTTTAATGGAAGTAAATGGGGAAATATATTTTTCCAAGTCATTTTGGACAGTTTTTGTTGGTCCGTTTATCAGGAAATTTTGAGATTACATAAAAGGCAACTGCCTTTTTCAAACTGGTTTAAAAAATTAAAAATGGAGATGCAAGGTTTTGTCCCGACAGCAGTGATACGTACAAAACTATGCAAAAGTCAGAGACCACCCTAGTGCACAGTATTCATTTTTCAGGTGATTCCTGATGAGATTAGATATAAGATAATCCATTTACACACGGAAGAGGAGGTCAAAGGAAAATTAGTGAAAAAAAACAGGAGTTTCCAAAACTGGAGTTCAAAAAATGATTAAAAGCTACAGAGAAAAAACTCCTAACAACCTCTTGGAAGACCTGGTGGACACCAAAACTGCCCCCATCAGATAAACAGCACTTAAAGCTTTCATCTTTGAGAGAGAGGAGAAAATCAAGCTGCTTCAGATCTGAAAACATCCACAGGTGTTTCTGTCCATCCTTCCACTGTGAGAAGACGACTCAGCGCTATGGGTCTGAAAGGATGTGTAGCTGTTCAAGAAGAACCTCACTGAGAAAAGGAGACAGACACATCAAACAAAGAAGCTGAACAATGGACTGACCACCCCAGAGTCCAGACCTCAACACCACTGAATGTGTTTGATTACTTCAGAAAACGATCAGCCAACTTCTAAGACTGGAGATGTGGAAAATAGCCCTGCAAATTTCTTAAAAAAACTTGTTAAATACTGAAAACGGAAACATTTAATACTGAAACATTAAATACTGTGGAATTGTGGAAACGTTAAATACTGAAAACATTAATATTCGATTTAGTTGTTGAGATTCTGTGTATTTTCAGTGTATTTTTCTGAAAATGAAAAACTTAATGGCCATTTTCACTGAATGAAGCATGGTCTCTGACTTTTGCACCGTACTCTGTATGCAAAGCAAGTTTCTCAATATCTATTTAAACATTGTCCCAGCTGGTCAACTGGTCTAACAAGGTGAATGTCCTCGCTAGCACACAGAAAAAGTTCAATAAGTGTTAAAAAGTTGTTTTTAAGATGTCCAATTGTGTTCCTGGTGTGCCAGGGTCCAGTAACCAAGTTTGATGTGTTGGACACCAGACTAGAGATGGACCCTGCTTGGCTAGAAGGTGTGGAACCCAAGAACTGACCTGCTCTGAGAGGTGTTTGGAGCGCAGGAAGAATCCCAGCAGGCAGCCGACCACCACGGCCATCACGGACATGATGAGGAGGCCATTCTGCTGGCACACGTTCTTCACCCGGCCCCATGCTGCACCGAGCGCCATGGTGATGCGTCTCCACGATCCACTGCCCGTTCAGTCAGCCATGCATTCAACCCAGCTCAGTGGTCCAAACAGGCAGGAAGGAAGTTGGAAAACGCACATGCAGGAGAGGCCTAGGAACTAGGAAGGTGTAGAGAAGTGCCTGCTGGGAAGAAGGTGAGTTTTTACGTCCCTTTTTGCAGGGTGAACGTCCAGGGTCGGTTACTCTTAGCAAGACTAAAGCCCATCACATTGTCCAGGCACATTCGCTGTCTCTCATTTCCTTTCTTTCTCTCTCTCTATCTATCTATCTCTCTCTATCTCTCTCTCTCTCTACCTTACCACACCCCCCTCGCCTACCGCCGCAGGCTGACCAATAGGGGGCTCTTCGACAGCTGGCGGTATTGTCCTGGGGTTAATACCAGCGATCCTATTAGGGCCGCACTGCATTAAGGGGATCTGGAGCTGGATTAAGGATCTTTGAACAATTGGAAAGGGGATTGTTTCATACTACAGAAGAAAAAGGGAACAGTAGACTGAAGTCAACAGAATAACATCTATGTACACGGCTTTATATGACTCCAATAAACCCCGGGCTTAACCAAAGCGCGCAAACACAGAAGATCGCCAGCTGGGAGATCTTTGTCCATTGGCTAGTGGACTTCTGTAGTCACCGATGACCACTGGGCAAGAGTAGGACAATCTGGCTCGACAGACGTGCAACAGCTCCACCCAATGATCAGTGTAGAAGCTGAAAGCTGCAAAGACCATGACATGGCATGGCTAGAGATGCTTTATAATCTTCATCCAACTAAACACAAAGCTAGATCTGGAGGAGCTGCAAAGACAAGAGGCAAAATTCAAGATTCAGTGCTTTACTGCCATCCCAAACAAAGTTGGGAGAAATTGACCTTAATGTTCTCATTTAAAGTCAAACACAGAAGACAGTATGACAGACAACACAGGTGGGTTAGAAACTAGAACTAGTCTCAACGCATTTTTGACAAAGTACATTGTTTGAAGAGGTGGTCAGTATCTTTGGCTTTTGGGAAATAGAAGGTTTTTGTTTGGAATGAAGCTGTTAAGAAGGCAAAAAAGAAAAAAAAATATGCAAATCCAACAAAGAAGCTGCTGATGTTCTCAGAACAATGGACTGACCACCCCAGCGTCCAGACTCCAGCATCGTTAAATGTGTTTGGGACTGCTTGCATGGTGACAACTGCAAAATGCAGCCAATTCCTAAGACTGAACTTGAGGTGTGGCCACAGATTTGTTTGAAAAACTGAAAGTGAGTCTCCTGAAAAGAATGGAAGCTGTAATAAAGATAAAGTGTGGACACAGTAAGTGTTGAAAATACTGATATTATATTCAGTTGTTGAGATTTCTGTGCAATTTTCTGTTAAATAGATGTTTCCTGTTTCTTCCTGATGTTGATGTTTGGACTGGAAGTTAAATAAATGAAGAGTGGTCTCTATATTCCACTTAAATCACAAAAGCTAAGGCATTTCATTGACAGATTTTTGTTTGATGTGCAGTTTTGTGACTGTATGACCAAGTGATATAGACCTTAGTATCACTCAACTGCTGAGTTGGTTTCGTAGACATGGACTAAGCCAAGTCCTGGACTAAACTGCAATGTTAATGGTGTTTTACCAGTAAAATCTCATTTAGGCTTAATCTGAGTCTGAGAACCCAGCTCCAAGATATTTTATCAGTAGAGCTCTAAACAAGGGATGTAGATCATGTCTATCTGTCATTATTACCCATTAAATATGAAATCTGTTTAAAAAACTCACACTGGTCAACCATTTGTATAGCTCACAGGGGTAGTTTGTCCACTACAGAAACAAAAAAGAGGAACTGACTCAAATAAGAACCGATAGTTTTTGCTGTAGTTCATTTTCCACCTGTTTAGAGACAGCTGGAACTATCGTAACACCTATTTTACAGCTGGCTAATTGTCGTGCTTGCTAATGAAATGATATACTGCACTGTTCTGCACACACACACACACACACACACACACACACACACACCACACACACCACACACACACAACTCACAAAAATGTCCACATTTACAGCCTCTTGTAGTGTTTTTATAGCATCAAGCAAAGCTTCAGGTTTTTTCCTGAGTGTCAAGCATTAGCTATCTTGCTAACTAGCTTAAACATTAACACTAAATTGTGCTCACAGGAAAAGCACACTTTTCTGAACCTACACTTTTCACAGAATAACGTGTACAATCAAGCAAAGCTTATTTTTTCTGACAAACGTGAAAATACAAGCAAAACAATTGTTCTGTGGCTGCTAGCATAAATGGTAGTAGCATTAGCAGCCTAACTAGCTTAATGTCAGAGAACCCTACATCACAACATGATAATTCTAAAGTCAACACATCAACATACCATTCTAGCTTACGTTCACGTCATGTAGTGTTTGGTAACTTTATCTTTACCCAGAAGAGTGACGAATTCGCTAACTTGTTGTTAGCTTTAGCTGCAAGTGCTAGCAAACACAGAGGAGAGCAGTCCTGTTGGTAAAAATCATTGATGCCAAAAGTTCTGGGACTTTGTGTTGTGGGAAAACATCTTTAAAGTGAGAATAAATTCATTCTAAATGCAGGCATTCATGTGTACAAATAGGACTAGGTTCCTGCTGAAAAAGAAACATTAGGATTAAAACCTAATGCTTTTGCTTTCTAGTTGAAAATGGCTTATTTGGTTCCAATAGAGACCACTAATTTCCTGTAGAACACCTTTAGATCCCATTAGGAAACCATCTAATGCATTTAGAATCAGCTATTGGTCACCTGTTAAACCATTAGGATCTTTACATTGTGATATCAACCCATTAAAAAAGCCAAAAAACATATTATAAAACCATTAGGAACCAACAGAAACACTTAATGGTTTCTACAGGCTTTTTCAGCAGGGGTGTACAAAAAAGTGCAAATACACTATATAGCTAAAAGTATGTGGACACGTGCCCATCACACCTATGTGAGGAATAGGAAAGAACTTTCCCCAAACTGCTGCCACAAAGTTGGAAGCATATATTTGGCTAAAATATCTTTGTGTGCTTTAGCATTACCATTACCCTCCATTGGGACCCTAAAAAAACAGCACATTATCCCCCCTCCACCAAACTTTACTGTTAACACTATGCAGTCAGGCAGGTAACGTTCTCCTGGCATCCACCAAACCCGGATTAATCAGACTGCCAGATAGTGAAGTGTGATTCAACATGTTTCCACTGCTCCAGAGTCCAGTAGCAACGTGCTTTACACCACTCAAGCCGACACTTGGCATTGCACATAGTGATCTTAGGCTTGTGTGCAGGTGCTCAGCAATGGAAACCCATTTCATGAACCTCCTGACGCACAGTTCTTGCAGTGATGTTGCTTCCAGAGGCAGTTTGGAAGTGATTTTGATGCCTGTGAGCTGTAGTCTACCAAAGCAGCTTGTTTACACTAGCCACCATTTCATGCATAGAACTATAGAAGTAGTAATAATTTTTATAAATGGTCTCTCTTTCGAAACGAGGACAGCCTAAATATCTTTCCTCCAAACTCTGAGCAGTCTATTCTGTTTGGTATTGTGATGTGTGCGTCATTTGTTTCCTGAATAATTCCCCATACAGAGTTTCTCCTGCACAGTAGCCAACTCGATTTGTCCGACATCCTGAACGTTCAATCATCATTCTACAGCGTGAGTGTTGTCTCCCAAAGAGGCTCACTGCGATGATGCTCTTCCTTCTCCTTTTAATGGCTTCGGCTTCATCCATCAAAAAGCCCAGCATCTCAGCAGACTGATGTTCCTCCAGCAATGGAGAAATTAATTGCTCTGTACAGAGACTGTTATCAGCCGGGCCTCAAAAATAGCGTGGCCGTGAAACTGTAACTAAAACTTTTAATTCGATATGAGTGCAGCTCATCTTCCTTTAATCAAATAGAGCCACTACTAAGGGGCCTTGAGTGAAGTTGACTGTCTTGATGTCCTTCATATGTCAGATTAGCCTAATAGCTTTGGGATCATCTGACTGCCTTCAGAGAATCGTGACCATGCTTGTTCGCTAGTGTTACTTTCAATTTAGAGAAATGATTTCAGTGTTGATTTAGTGCAGTGGAATGTGCTTCAGTTAATTTGAAAGAAGGATAATGTCATTTTGGGTGGCTAAATTAAATAGCATTTGATTATAGCTGTACTGCTTAAAAGAATGGCTCTGTATACAATCTGAATCAAGAATGTACACTGTTAGAAGTAAAGGCACTCGTACAAAAGGTACAAGGAATATAAACGTTCCCTCAAAGGTGCAACAGTGGTTTTAAGGCCCAGTTGTGAACCTTAAATAAGTTTTTCCAGGTGAAAAGTTCATATTTGTACTTTTTCATAGCCTGATGCCTTAAACCAGAACAAAGTCTGGAGACTTAGAAAATATCATTTCAGTGGGTTATGGTACCACCTCCCGTGACAAGAGGGGTCCTGTCCCAGTGACAGTTTTGTACATTTTTTTTCTGAGGCCTTAGAAGTAACTGGACAGTGACAGCGTTTGTTGCTTTGCTCTGTACTTCTGCATATTGGGTTTGAACTGAAATGATGACCATGAGGTTATGGTACAGAGTGTAAGCTTTATTTTGATGGTATTTATCTTCATTGGTGATCCAAATAAGACTTGCAGCTCTTTTTATTGCGTGTCAGCTCCCATTTCAGAGGAGCAAAGGTAATTGAACAAAGTTAGTCTTATTTAATATGGCCATGTTTCACCAGACACTCTGCCAAGCCTGTAATTCAGGCTTTTACAGTTCCTACTCATTTCAGGGGGCTTTTTGCCTCCAGTTTTGCCTTCAGAAAGTGAAATGCTGCTCAGTGGCTACATTTTGGGTGACTGACTTGGCCAATTCCACTTTTTAACCCGCCAAAGAACATAGCTGCTTTAGCTGTAGGCCTACACTTCAGACCATTGCCCTCATATGGGGTGGAGCACCATCCAGTCCTTTGTCCCAGAACTTTACAGGCTTTTTAA